CCAGTTATCCCTTCTCAGGGACTGTTATTTCCTCCCCAACAGACTAGTTGCCTTTTGTGTCCTTTGAGCCATAAATGAAACCCAAAATACCTTTTCCTCTCTATTATTGCCTCCCAGATCTCAGCCCTTAGAGCTCTGCTGTCCTAAAACTGTTCTCCTGCCTCTCTCTTTGGTGGGAGATTCCAGTCCAGTTGCCTCCACTTCTCCTTGGTGGGACTTAAATCTAGGAGAACATCTCCACTAGATTTTTTTTTTTTTCCTCCCCCTAATTAATTCTCAGCAAATTGCTTCTGACACAGTTTAAGCACAGGCTGAGCTATGTATTCCCCAGGGAATTGTGACAGTCATGTGCATGTGGCCCAGGCAGAGTCCTGGCCCAGCTCCCCCAGGCTCTACATTGGGGACAGAATGTTAAAACAATAAGAGCAACTTTACTACTTTCCCCTCCAAGCCCTCCCTGTTTATGAGGGGGCTAATAAAAAAGGTTCTGTGGGCAATTGTTCCCCGTGGGTCAATTCAGTAGGAAATAAAACTCTTATGTTCCTTCAAAAAAAAAAAAAAACCAAAACACACAGCACCAAATAGCTCACAGACATTCCAGGATGGGATTTGGGAGGGAGGGATATGAGATATGAGCTGGAACTAGAAAAACCTGCTTTAGTTTAATCAATAGTGTTTAAAGTTCTCTAACAAGGCCTGGCTGGGGGTAGGTGGGGAGCACAGCTCTGATGCTGCTCACGGAATAATGTGGCAGTTGTTTGGGGGGAACACCAGCCTGTGGTTTTGTTTAAGCTCAAATGTGAACCAGCTGTGGTGCTGCTGGAAGGCTGTGGGGCCTTTGGCCCTTGCTGGGAGGCAAGAAGTGCTGCAGGAGAGCTCACTTGGGCTGCAGGCAGGAGAGGAGTGCAGGCTGAGAGCTGCCTGGACAGGGAACAGCAGCTGGACATGTGTTCTCCATCCCTGTGTTGTCCCAAGACCTCCTTCCTCCACTTTTAGGAGCAATTCCTGCTCTTTCAGAGTTGACCATCTGCAAAAGGTGAGCCAACTATTAAGCTGAGATAGGGAAGAGTCAGATTAGACATTAGGAAAGATTTCTTCACTGTTACTGTGTTCAGGCACTGGAATATTGCCCAGGGAGGTGGTGGAATCACCATCCCTGGAGGTGTTTGAGAGGCATCTGGATCTGGCACTGGAGGATATGGTTTAGGGGTCACAGCAGTGACAGGTTAATGGTTGGACTGGATGATCTGAGAGGTTTCTTCCAACCTTGATGGTTCTATGATTCTAGACTGTCCATCCTGTTACAGGAAGGCCTGAAGGGGGTAGGGATTACCCAACCTTCCTCACCTGGGGGTGTCCCAGCACCCCTGGAGCCTGGGAGATGTGGATCCAGGGCAGACCTTGTGGCCTTGCCATGCAACATAGTGCCCAGGAAAACAGGAAGCACAGGATGGAGTCCTTTAGGGCTAGAGAGGAGGAAACCTTTCCTGGTTTGTTTATTAGGTGAACCTCCTTCACTGGAGATACTCAAGAACTGTCTGGACACAATCTTGTCCCATGTGCTCTAGGATGGCCCTGCTTGAGCAGGGAGGTTGGACCAGCTGACCCAGTGTGGTCCCTTCCAGCCTGATTCTGTGCATTGGGAATGGTAGCTCTTTATTCAAATGATGCAACCATAGAATCATGGAATCCCAGAATAGTTTGGGTTGGAAGGAGCTTAGAGCTCATCCCATGGGCAAGGACACCTTCCACCAGCCCAGGTTGCTCCAAACCCCATCCAGCCTGGTCTGGAACACTTCCAAGGGATGGAACACCCACAGCTTTTCTGGACAATCTTATTTCTGCAGTTCACTTTGGCTACAAAACCTGGAGACCTTAGCACAGGTTGCCCAGGGAGGCTGTGGCTGCCCCAATCCTGGGCAATGTTCATTCCAGGCTGGATGAAATCTTGAGCAACCTGCTCTGATGGGAGGTGTCCCTGCCCAGGGCAGGGGGTTGGGGCTGGATCACCTCTGTCCCTGCCCAGGGGGTTGGGGCTGGATCACCTCTAAACTCCATCCCAACTCTTTAACATGCTCTGAACTGCGCTGATGCATTTCTTTATCTTGCAGCTTCTCTGGACAGTTTATATACTTTTTTTTTTTTGTGTTCATGCCCAGGTGGCCAAGCGAGTGGGCCGAGTGCTGTACATGGCAGGATTCCCCATGGCTTTCCCGCTGCAGCCTCCTGGTCTGAGGCCTCCAGAGAGGGAACTCCATCCCAACTCTTTAACATGCTCTGAACTGCGCTGATGCATTTCTTTATCTTGCAGCTTCTCTGGACAGTTTATATACTTTTTTTTTTTTGTGTTCATGCCCAGGTGGCCAAGCGAGTGGGCCGAGTGCTGTACATGGCAGGATTCCCCATGGCTTTCCCGCTGCAGCCTCCTGGTCTGAGGCCTCCAGAGAGGGAAGTGCCCCCAGCTGAGCTCCGACCTGCGTCCACGGGCAGCGTGGCCTCCCCCTTTGGCAGCACCCTGCCTGCTGCCAGCAGGGGCTCCCCCAAGCAGGAGAATGGGAATCCTTCCCTCCTCCCTGGGATCAACGACACCACAAAACCTCCGTCCTAACTGTGGGACACCTCCAACTGGGACTGGGAGTCAGTGGGACAAGCTGAAGGTGACGCCAGAGCCTCCCCCGCGGCGGCCACGACGTGAGACGCAGGAGTGAGGGAGGAAAGGGAGGGGGTTAGTTTATTGGGATGCATTTGCTTTTTTTTTTTTGTTTGTTTGGGAAAAAAAATAAACCCACGCAGAAGATTTAGAAACTGTAAAAAGGGAAGGTGAGAAAAATTAGCCAAAGATTGTCCTGAGGCAAGACAAATGAAGAAAGAGGATTTTTGGAGGATGCTGCAGCATTTCTGTTCCCTTTCCGCACCCATTCGTGCTCCTTGGGTGGAGATGGAGAGCCCTGGCCAGGGAATGGACACTGTTCTTTGCCTTCAAGGAATGATGGCTGTCAGGAACTCCTGGGTGTGACTGCAAGCAGAGAAGGGGAAGAGGCTCTGCTCCTCCCAACGGTACTCAACAACCCACCAACAACAGGCAAACCAACCAACCACCTTTCCAGATCTCTCCTCCTCCCTGCCAAACTGTGCTCAGTTCCTCAGTCAGGTGTCTATGCATCTCTAGCAACTTTGAAAACAATACCAAAGACAGATCAAAAGATTTAAAAAAAGAAAAAAAAAAGACTGAAATAAAGAAGACAAGCTCCGGTCCATGTTTACTTCGTACGGACGGTACAGCACTGGCAGCTCCATGCCAGCACACAGCAGAACAGACTCTGCCTGTGCCCCAGCCCTGCAGAGGTGTTTTATTTTCCACTAGGTGTTTTGTTTTAAAGAGAAGAAGAAGAAGAAAGTGTGTGGCTTGGGTGGGATGAAGGGTCACAGCCTCACACCAGTGTGGCCTCTCCCTCCTCCCGTGTCCAACAGACTCATTTCTACATCTGGGGTGGGTTTTATTTGTTCCTAGGGTTGGGGTTTTGGTTTTTTGAAAGCCTTGTTACAGAGGTGGATGTAGTTGCACATTCTGGCCTGCTGTGGACCATGAGACAGATCCCTGGGAGGAGGGGGAGGGATGCTGAGGGCTGAAAAACAACAGGCAGAGTTTTTACTACTGTGAATGAGTTGGGAACTCCTGGGGGTGACCTCCTGTGACTTGTACAGTTGTGAACAACAATCACATGTGGTACTTCTCTCTCTCTCTCTCTCTCTCTCTCTCTCTCTCTCTCCCCTGCCCCTGTTTTGGTTTGGTTTTGGTTTTGTTTAAACGTTGCACGTGCTGCCGTATTTTTTTTTTTCTTACAACATAGCTTGGTGGTACATTAGCTTCTTTATATTGTAAAGAAAAGGAAGTCCATTATCCATCACATCACGATGAAAAAAAATGCTTTCCAGCAATCAATTTAAATAAAAAAGACACTTAATTTACAAATGGTAACCTGGCTTTACCCAAGGAGTGTGTCTCCTTCCTTTCACTGGTGATGTGCATCACCACAGGGGTTTGTAACACATTTCTGGCCTAAAAAACCAACCTGAGGGTTGGTTCAGAGATGGCACAAGGCAGACAATACCTTGCCCAGGTAAGTTAGAGAAAGGAGAAAAGCAACTCCTTTCTCTTTTGGAAGAAAATGTAAGTTAAAACCTTCCATTTATAGTTAGGGCCTTAAAGTTCTCACCTTTAGTGAGACATAACCTGGGCTCCCAGATGTACCTGCCTAAGACTCAGCCATAGGGAACCTCAGTTTTGAGGGCTCCTTAACCCCTAAAGGAGCAGCAGGTACTCTGGTGAGGGTCCCAGAGCAAAGTATGTGGTGCCAGGGGTGGTTGGCTGAACAGGGAGGAGGAACCTTAGAGAATGTGCTTCCCTTGCTCAGCTCACTTAGCAGCAGTTGAAACTGAACCCTGTGCTATTTAAAGCCACAGATTTTAATGAGGGCTTTTTATGACTTCTGCTGAGCAGTTTTACTGGCCTTGACATGGCCACAGTTTTATTGTTACCAAAAACATAACTGGTAGAAAAAGCTTCAAAGTCCAAATAACATCTCTGCCATGGCACCGAGTCCTTGCTGGCTCCTACCTGTGTTCCTTGGCTTTTACCACCTCTGAGCAGCAGCTCCAGGTGCTGGAGGCTGGGGGGATCCAGTCTGGGAGGGATCAGCTTGGAGAGGTGGCTGTGAGTGGGCTCAGTCATCATCAGAGAACGCCAAGTCCTCCACGATGTCCTCCCCACCCTGGGCGAGCTGCTCCAGGTCGGAGCGCGACATCCCTCGGGGACAGCTCCTCTGCTTCCCTGGCCCTTGGGAATCCTGAGCTCCTTCCTCTGTGGGTGGAAAGAGAGAGGTGTAAATCCTTGTCTTGCTGGGAACAAGCATGAGGCTAGTCAAGGCAACTCATTACTAATTAATCCCAGACACTCATTAATTTATCGGCACCGCTGCAGTGCCCAGAGAGCAGCAGGAGAGCTGCAGGGTGTGCAGCTCCAGCTCTGAAGCACCTGGGAGCTGGAGAGGAGCCGAAAAATGTTACACCTGAGGCAGAAACATAGAGGAAGAACTGGGGGACATGAGCCAGGCCTCCAAACCTTTCTCCCTCCCAGATCAGGTCAGTCTTCCTCACTGGAGATGTTGGGCTGGGCATTAGGAGCTGTCACAGGTCACAGACTCCCAAATGCAAAACTATCTCCAAAGAGAGGAGCACAGGTGAGAATTAGTTTCTAGGGGCTGTTCATGGAATCCTAGAATGGTTTGGGTCAGAAGGGACCTTAAAAGACCATCTAGTTCCACCCCATGCCATGGGGTGGACACCTTGCCCAGGTTGCTCCAAACCCCATCTAACCTGGAAGATACTCCTTTCTCAGCTGCACAAAGCCTGGCCTGGTGTCCAGCACAGCCCTGGCAGCTTTTTCAGTGCCCCTTGAGAGCTGTTCCTGGGAGCATATATGACCTGGCAGCCCCTCATGCTGACTCCCAACACTCACCCATTCCAACTCTGGGAGCAGGACCAAGCACAGAGGCTGCTCAGTGGCTCTAGCAGAGTCTGAACTCACACTGCCCAGAAGAATGATAAATGCAGGACTTGGACCAGCTCTCCTGTCAGCCCTGTCCTGGAAGAGCTGCTGAGATGAAAGGTGACACACACTCTGCACACCCCATGTGTGGGTAACCTGCAGAGAAGCCTCCAAGCAAGGCTGATGTACCTCCAAGCATCTGTAGCCTGTTGGGGTGGGCTGTGCTTCAAGAGTTTGTTTGAGCCTCACTGCAGGAGGCTCCTGAAAAGAGATGAAAGGGACTGGAGGGTTGTTAGAGTGAGGACTGCAGAGACCTTAACCCTTTCACTCTCCTCAGTGTAACTCAGAACTGTCAGGTCTCCCTGCCCAGGGTGTGTGTCTGTGTGTGAAGTCCCTCCTGACACCCTCAGGTGACAACAGCAAAGGAGCTTTGGTCACCAGTGCTGTCACTTCCCCTTTGCCCAGCTGCTCTACTCACCATCTGACTCACTGTCTTCCTCCAATTCCTCCTCATCGTCCTCAATTTCATAGTTTCCTTCATCATCATCATCCTCCTCACCATACTCCTTGCTGCTTTCTTCTGAGCTGTCATCTGATTCCTCCTTGGCTTTGCCTTTACCTGCAAGTATGTTAACATGGAAACATGAAGAGCACATGTGCAGGAAGTATAGCCAAAGGGACAAAGAACCCTCCAGCCCAACATTCATCCTCAGGAGAATGCTCAGACATGCTAAAAGGGATATTTCCCCACATTTCTTACACATCTATCTCCCCAAAAGCCACATCCCCTTGCACCAGAGGCCCAGAGAAGGATGAGGTTTGGTTCAGAGTCACCCAGGACACAGAGGAATCAGCTCAGAACCCACAGCAGGGTTTAGGGCTGTCCTGCTCAGAGAGACAGGAAAGCTGAACAGACAGGAGAGCACAATGAAAAGAAATGTGCCTGCTCAAAGGAGAAGGAACAAATCCCACAGGTGAGACCAGAGTAGGGATGGTGCCTGTGTATAGCCACCTTCATCCTCTGCACAGGGGTAGACTCTGGTTCAGGGCATCCCTGTAAACCTCTCTTAGCTTTATTCCCTCTGTTAGACACAAAAAAATGTCTAGGAACGAGTGAAAATTCCCTCTGCAGATGGCTAGCCAGCTCCAAGGGAGCCTGGAAGGAAGGATTAAGAGCCTCTGGATGCTTGGCCTGTGGGAAAAACAAATCATCCATCTCTGGAATTGGCCCAACTCCTGTGAAGTTCACTGCAGGAGGAGTGATTCTGCTCTCTCCCTCCTCTGGGCTGTGTGAGTCACCAGGTGTTTAAATGACAGAAGACAAGTTCTGTACAGAGGGAGCAGAACCACCAGCTGCCTCTTGGCTGAGCCCAGCTGGTGCTGCAGCCTGCCTGCCCTGCCCTGCTGAAGAACCTATTTACTCACCCTTCAGACTCTGCCTGGACATTTTCCTCACTCAGTGGTCCCTGGGCCACACTGCAGTGCCTGTGTTTTGCCCCATCCTCCCTCCCCAGCAGCTGACCTGTGTGACTCACTGAACTGGATCACTAAGCTGGCTGCCAGCACTCCCAGCTCCCTGTCACCACCCTGTCCTCCCTGCTCTCACCCATCTGTCAGCTCTGCCAGCAGCCTCTGTGCAGTTCCCCCTGAGGGATGGGCAGGCACAGCACAGCCCACAGCCAGAGCTCTGGGGTGTCTGCAGGGAACTCCTCCTGCAGAGGAGATGGATTGCAGTGCTGGTCACTGTCCCACATCACAGTGATGGGAACCTGAGCAGCTCAGGGGCATGTTCTCATCCATCAAACACCAGCCAAAGCACTGCTAGATCCAGCAACCAGCTCAGCTGGGAGGATGCAGCAAACCAGCAGTGAGCAGGAATTGGGTATTGGGCCCTTGGGTCACTCCTACCTGCTACAACAAGAGGAGTTTACTCAGCTTCTCCAGATTTCTGCTGCCCATCCTTAAGCTCAGCCCCTGCCTCTGCTCACACTGGGGTATACTATGAGAGTATGCTCAGGGGTTGGAATGGACCTTAGAGAGCACCTAGTCCCAGCTCTGAATTTATAGTTTCATAGATTGTTAAGAGGTTGGGATGGAGCTTAGAGATCATCCAGCCCCAACCCCCTGCCCTGGGCAGGGACACGTCCCACCAGAGCGGGTTACTCAAGGCTTTAGCCAACCTGGAATGAACATTGCCAGGGTTGGGGCAGCCACAGCCTCCCTGGGCAACCTGTGCCAGTGTCTCACCACCCTCACAGGGAAAAACTTCTTCCTAAGATCTAACCTAAATTTCCCTCTTTCAATTTCTCCCCATTCCTCCTTGTCCTGTTGCTGCAGTTCCTAACAAAGAGAGAACACCCACAGAGCTCCCAGTACAGCCTTCACACAGGACACCCAAATTCCATCTCCCCAGGCACAAGTGCATCAGTGAGACCCTAGAAGACACTGCTCAGGGCAATCAGTGCTGCTCCTCTCTTCCTCCTCACTCTGCTCAGCTCCTGGAGCAGGAATATCCCCACTGAAAAGAGCCATGATACTTCTGGTAGGAATGAGACAGCCTGACCTCCCTCTCCACACCCCTGGCCCCCACCAGCCTGGCATTAAATTGCTGTAATATGATTATGTGAGGGATAAATGAAGAAACCTGCTCAAGTTCATTAAGGCACAGCAACACCTAATGTGGACAGATCGCTCATTACCGCTGGGCCCAGGGAGACGTGGCCACGTTCCCTCCTCACCTTTAATTGCCTCATGACGAGGCAGCCCAGCACCTTTTCCACAGCCATTAATAACTCCCAGCCTTGCCTTTCCTCCCAGAGATCCAGCTGCTAAATGAGGAGAATGCAGGTAGCTCCCCACCCCCACCAGGGACACGTGGGCTGATCAATCTATGCTCTTTTCTCCCTATCTCCTGGTGCTTCCTGCTCAGGGGTTCCTAAAATGTGCAAACTGGTGTCTCTCCCCTCATCAGCCCTTTCAGAGACAGCAGCCAGGGAGTCTCTCCTCCCTGCCTTTCCCATTCCAGAGGGCAGCTTGTCATGATGTGATGGACTCTCTGCACCCACCACCTCTCCTGCTCCCTTGGGAGGATGCTGAGGGTATGTGATCCTGCTG